CAAAGAGGCCTCCCTAAAATGTTGAAGAAAGTATTTACATGACAATAAAACAGTAAAATCCTTCATATGGTTCTGTTTGTAAAAAGCCCTTACAAATCAGAAAGAGCTGAATTCTTAGATCAGCCCAGCTACGGTGGCATGCGAAATGAGCCTGACATTTTACTCTACCTTCTACGAGCTCAAAATGCAGCACAAGTCAGAGCACCACACAAACAACCAAGTACCTGTACTTCACAGTCTGTTCTGTAAGCTGGGCTGCCCATGAATCAAGTGTACAAACAGCTTCCTTGTAATATAGCATTGTGATAATGGAGGAAGCATATTGCAGCAGAACCTTGTAAAACTATGATTTCAACACTCAAGAGCTGTGAGCAAAGGAAAAAGAAAAGGGTAAGTGGAGAAGAGTGACAGGAAAGTGCTATGCATCTGGACGTCATAGGCAAATCTGAATGGAACAGAAAGATGGAAAATACAACTAAAGTGGGCAGGCTGGAGGCAGATCATGATATAGAAGCACATACGGATGTTTCTAGAAATAAATTTTGCAGAGGAACTGTAAGAAACAAGTTGATTAATATTGATGCAGAGAAAAGACCAAAGTGGCAATACATAACGCAAAATGCAGTCAGAAGGCTACTGCAAAAATCCACATGAGAAGGGAGGGCCATACTGCATAGAGACAGCAGCAGTGGGAAGACCTTGCAGGTTTTGGTAACTGCCTGGTACTTGGTAACTAACTGTATAAAGGATTTCATATTTATTTGATAAACTCCTGATTCAAATATAATAAGAACAAGGATTTAGCTCAGTGGTGCTGCCACTGCCTCAGAAGTACAAGGTCCTGAGTTTGATCCCTGATACCAAAAAAAAAAAAAAAAAAAAAAAAAAAAGAATGTAATAATAATGATAGATCTATTGTCAATTAGTTGTTTCTGTCCCAGAAATTGCAAAATATTTCTACAAGGTAGTGGCTATAAAGACAATCTCCACATTAATGAATTGGATTTATTTATTTATTTATTTTTCTGGTACGGGGGATTGAACTTAGGGCTTTGCAATTGCAAGGCAGGCGCAACACCAATGAGCTAAATTCCTGGCCTAATGAATTGGATTTTAACAAACATCTTCAAGGGTCTTGGACTTTTATTAGTTTGAAATATTTTTATTTTGTGGTATTTGGGATTGTCTCAGGGACTTTTCACTGAGCAACATCCCCAGCTTTTGAAGGTACTTTTTATTTTGAAACAGGCTTTCACTAAGTTGGAAAGTTTGCCCAGGCTGGGCTTGAACTTATGATCCTTCTGCCTTAGCCTCCACAAGTGCTACAATCATGGGCATGTGTTACCACACTCACATTAATTTGTAATGTTTTAAAAAATTTTCAGTATTACTACAAAACACATTAGCCTCTAAACTCCAAGAAGTTAAAATGAAAAGGAATTCTTATGTGTGCTAGAAAATGTTATTTCTACAACTACTGACAAAACTCAGAGTAATGTTTCAATAAATATGTGCTTATCATAGACACAATACTATACACAGCACCTGGTCACCTGAAAAATTCTCCCTCCCCAATGAGTTTTGACATTACTGAACAGATAAAATGACCACAAAAATTTAAGTCAGAAGAACACAATTCTGCATATAGGGAAAGGTGTGTGAATTAAAGCAAAAAGGTAAGCTACATTTATATAAGACCCGACAATACAATGGCTTACAGAACAAAAGGCTTCTTTCTTTGTTCTAAGATGAAAGGTATCATGTGGTGATGCAGCTGTTTCATGAAGCATGAGAGCCCCAGGGTCCTTCCTAGGGTATTCCTAGGTCAGTTTATCACCTGTAGAGCTGGACAGGAGTCATTTCAGGTTTCATTTTCAGGCTTATCCTGGAAAGGGTACACACCACTTGAGTTCACACCCCGCTGACAGGAATCTCACTGTTTGGTCACACCTGACTAAGCCATGCAGGAAAACTGTGTACCTCAGAAGGGATAAACAAGTAATCTCCACCAAAAGTCTTCAGAATGATATAAAATGCCTGTGATTAGGAAGTAGTAACTGTAAAAGTCAGCAGGATAACAGTTATCTTAGAGCAGAGAGAATTTGGGGAAATTGTAAGATGCTGGCAGTATGAGTTGTAGTTACTTGAATCTCATATAAATTTATTAAGCTGTACTTTAAGTTTCTGTAGTTCTAATATTTTTCTCATAGCGAAGTTTTACAATAAAGCTTTATACTTATTTCAAGAAGACTGAACAGTCCTCACTAGGTGTGTGTGGAGACAACACAGTCAGACATAAATCAGAGTTCAAAGTGTCACACACTACAGGTTTAATGCTACGTAGTTTTACTTAAGTAAAAGCAAATATTTGTATTTTATTTCCATAATTTCTGAGTTCAGTTTTGATATTTATGTGGTAGGAAAATGGGCTTACAGAAGTGAATGGCTGATTTACAACACTTTTCTTATAAGAAATACGACATACCAGCTCAGAGTGTGATAGGAACTCAGGGATTAAGTCTTTCAGTCTATCATCACTACCATCAGCCATCCAACTTTAATTCAGATTCTTCTAGGAAGAAATTACAGAGGAACATGAAGTGGAAAGACTTTAAAACAGCCCTACAATCTCTGTCTCCTGGTATTCTTGCCCTTGTGTAAACCCAACCACAGAATGTGGGCAGAATTTATTGACTGCTTTCTAATCAAGAACGCAGCAAATGTGAAAGGATATGGGTGGTCATCTAAAAGACTAATGTCCATCTGGCTAGGGAGACTCTCCTGCTGTCTTGGAAAAAGCAAACTACCTGTGATGAGGACCACATGAAAAGCATCTGAGGGTGGTTTCCAGCCAACAGCCAGGAAGAAATGGAGGCCTTCAGTGAGAGAACGTACAAGGAACTGAATTCTGCCAATATGCACGTGGCCTTGAAAAACACTGCTTCTTCACTCAAGCCTCAGATGAGACCCATCTCTAGCTGACACTTAGCCTGGAGCCTTGCAGACCCAACTGAGGCATACCCACAAGATCCATGCTACAATAAATGTGTTTTTTGAAGCTGGTAAATTTGTAGTAACTCTGCAATACATAATACAGAATCCTTATGAAAATTCCACTATTTTTCCAAACCCAAGAACACATGGCCGAAAAATAATATTTGTTTTTCTCCATTATCATCTCAATAACAAAAGCCAGAACTTCAATAGGGTACTTCAAGGCATGACAAGAATTCATATGAGAAGAGCTGACTACCATAAAATTTTTAACATTGCTTCCAGAGGCATTTCACTATCCTTATCAGTTACTGAAAGAAAGTACATTACCACCTATGTCAAGTTCACTGAGCTCTATTTTTTAAATTTTAGAGAAAAAAATATATAAGAAATGTCTAGATGTGGACTACTGTCCTAGTTGTAACTGTTTGTGTTTTATAGGACATAAAAAGGACTAGAAGAATATATTATGCTTAGCTGGGAGTGGTGGAGTACATCTTTAATCCTAGCTCTCTGAGAAGTTGAGACAGAAGGATTAGAAGCTCAAGCCCAGCCTGGGCAGCTCAGCGAAACTTGTCTCAAAATAAAAATTTTTTTAAAGGCCAGAGATGAAGTTCAGTATGAAGGCCCAGGGTTCAATTCCCAGTAATGGAAATAAATAAACAAGCAAATAAAATGTTTAAATAATTATCTTTTTATTATCGTTTCTCATAAAACATTATAAATTGCTAGATGTATAGTTCAGAAATTCTTACTGGTTACTTGTGATTTCTACTGTACTACGACATACAAGCAATGTTTGAATGTGCATAGATTGAGACATTAAGTACTACTATACATGATGAAGAAACTGGGTTTACGACAGCTTTTGTGCTAATATTTGACAATGCTCTCAATTATTTCATCTCAATCTAATTACTTAGTATCTCTCATAACTTATTCTGTTTGTTTGTTTGCTTGTTTTTGGTACCAGGGATTGAACTCAGGTCCTTGTACTTGCAAGGCAGGCAGCAGAACCACTGAGCTAAATCCCGGGCCCTCATAACTTATTCTGTAGGAAAAGAATAAACCACAAATAACTGGTCCAGGCTTGCAAATTTATTTTAAAAAGAAAAAACAACCTGCTGTGAGTAGCAAAACAACCCTCTGATGTTAGAAACATTTCAGCTAACATTGTGAGCATAAATCATTGTTTATACTATTATAACACATATCAAGAACACACACAGAGCAACTGGTCTTTGCCATCTACAGTTTATGCATTTTTATGACACTATAATACACATACTGACAAAACACTTCTCTTATGTACCACTCAAAATAGCAAATACTATGTACAGGTTCAATGACCCAAGAGCTGAGCAAGAAGCATTATGAGAAACCATCTTTTTTAAGATACTTAAATACTGTATTTGATCCAGATTCTAAGGGAATGTTTGACAGAAATTCCTGGAACCAGGAAGACAGTGCTTATTTTTAAAGCAGTGAGGGTTAAGAGGCCATGAAATTTAGTGAGCGTAATAAGCTCACCACTGAACGAGAATAAAGGAGGCAGGAAGTAGGTTTTTTTGGTTTTGTTTTTTGTTTTTTTTTTGTAGGCATGGAACATCCATATAAAATAGAGTTCTAGGGCCAGGGATTTAGTTCAGTGTTGTACCACCTGCCTTGCAAGCTCAAGGTCCAGAGTTCAATCCCCAGTAACAAAAATAAATAAATACAATAAAAAAAAGAGTTCTATGAAATACTTTTGCTACATTTATTTCACTTTCAATTATTAGCCTTAGGAATTATTTATTTGGGGGTTTTTATGAGACAAGGTCTCACTACGGAGTTGAAACTGACCTGGAACTCACTATGTAGCCCAGGCTGGTCTCGAACTCACAGTGATCCTCCTGCCTAAGCCTCCCTAGTGCTGGGATTATAGGCATGCACCACCATGCCTGGCATAGCCTTAAGAATTACTAATATGCAAGATAATAAAAGAAAGATTCATAAAATTTACTTACTCTTTGTTCTCTCTCCCCAGTTCTCAAAATCCACTAAATCACCTGAATGCATAGCAGACATGATCTTCTGAGCAACACTGGAAAGTGGTGTCTCACAGAATTCAAAGCCTACACAAGCCTCATAATTTTCCATTTTCATAAAGTCCTAAATACAAGATTAACATAAAATACACTTATATTTAGACTTCAAAATAAGAAACTCAATTAAACTACGTATTTGAAAAATTTATGTACTGAGACTTTAACCTAAAAAATCATTATTAACAACCACAGGAAATAGGTTTCTATCATTCCATAATCCAAATAGGATAGTCAGAAGAAAAATATAGCTAGAATACTCAATTGGGGATCATAGTAAATAGATAAAAAACATTTTCTAGCCAACCAAGTACGAAGCAAGCAATCCAGATAATTCCTGTTTTGAAAAATGGTTATTAATCCTCAAGTTAATAAATCTAATAACATATCAATTACACCTGACTTGGGTCACGGCAGACATGGCCTGCCAACCCTTCCACTGTCAACCATACTGGTCCCATAGGCTGAGTAGGTGAAGGTGTAGGTGGAGACTATATAGATCAAGCATTGATCACATATCTAAATTACCTGACACTAATTTCAATAGAATTTGCTATCATAGGCCAGGAAACAAGATGACATTTTTTTCTATATTATTTGGGGAAAAGTAAATTATCCCAAGACAGAATAGGAAAAAATTAAGTAAGTCAGTCAAGTGAAAAACTGATAACTAAACGTTAGATAAAACTTACTGCTAAAAATGTTTCAAGTATATTAAAGTTCACTTAATAAATTTTTAAATAACCAATACAGTCATTGGCAAAACACTTTTGTTCAATAGGTTACAAAACTTAACAGTGCTGTTACCTAAGAATGCTCATCTTCTGATAATCGTAGCTAAAAACATTCATAAAGCCTACCTGAAATAAAGTTTTTGTGTTTTTTTGGTACCAGATCAAACTCATGAACTTGTGCTTATGAGGCAGGCAGCAGCACCATTGAGCTAAATCCCCTGAAATATGTAGTTTTTAGATTGGCATTCCATAAAGCAAGCAAGCAAGAAATATTCTTGAAGATATTACCTATAAAATTACATGGTATCTAATAGAAGCCATGTACAAACTGGACCCTTAAGGCGCATTTGGCATAAATTATAAGCTACTTCAAATTACTTTATACTAACTCTTAATTTCTAACTGTCTAAATACTAGGTAAACTGGGCAAGGTGGCGCAATGCCAGTACTCAGGAGACTAAGGCAGGAAGATTACTGCAAGTTCAAGACCAGCCTGGGCTCCATAGCGAGACCTTGTCTCTAAATAAATAAATAAATAAAAATTAAAAATAAATATTGACAATACTCTGTATTTTAAGTATTTTCATTCTTAAGACATTAAAAATGTTTGTTTGTTTTTGGTACTAGGGATTGAACTCAGGTCTTGTGCTTGCAAGGCAGGCAGCAGAACCACTGAGCTAAATCCCGGGCCCTTAAGACATTAAAAATGTACATAAATCCTTTGACCAACTTTTTAGTAATTTTGAAACTTAAATATCATTTCATTTGAAGGCTGTTTAAGTCACACACAAATCAAAGCCCAAGATTTGTCATGCAGAAACCTGTATTTCTAAAACCCAATCCCTAAAATGAAAAAGATCAGTGGAGTCCTGATGCTCTGTGGTACAAATAGCAATATCCAGTCTCAAACAACAGAAAAGGGAATTATGGGAAAATACAGTTTGAGTGGCAGAATTTCACTTCAGTCAAAAATGAGGGGACTTGGCCGTTTCACAAACACAGTAGTGCCTCTCCTGGGAGAGGACATTCCAAACTTCATGGAAGCCAGGAGCTGCTGACAGTATGGAGCTCTATACATCTCTTAAGTGACTAATCTACACATAGCAAACAAGAACAGGAATGATTCATGTCATGGATGAGAATGTTTTGAGACTCCATAACATTACACAGAATGGCTTAAAACTTATTTTCTGGATTGTTCCATTTAATACCTTCTAATCACAGATGGTATCAGGTAATCTTCACAAAGCAAAACTAGGATAAGGGATTACTATTGTATTAAGGTCTGTAGATGTAATGCTAACCAAAGTTCTATAAATTTTAAAAGTAACAGCAAAATACTTTTTAAAAAACAGTAAAGAAGGAGCTGGGGATTTAGCTCAGTGGTTCTGCTGCCTGCCTTGCAAGCACAAGGATCCAAGTTCGATCTCCAGTACCACAAAAAAAAAAAAAAAAAAAAAAAAAAAAAAAAAAAAAAAAAAAAAAAAAAAATT